AAAAACTCCAAGTGGAATCAAAGGGGAACGACCTTTGACCTAACAAAACAAAATACTCTTGTATGTTTCTTGCATGTATACAGGAAGGCCAGGAAATAATATTTTTCTATATTACATGTTGAAAATATATTACATCTAAGATAAGGACGGTATGCAAGGTATGCAACATGACAAACAATTAAAAGGACTTCAAACGCATATTGATGACAAGTACCAAAAATAAGATGTAAACAATGCACAGTACTTGGAATTGAATACGTTACATGGTACTTAAAGTTCAATGCTCCGATGACGATACGTTTCTTTGCCAACACATCAGAATTATATCCGGTGGTATCCAGTATCTGAATATCAAGCTCATACACCACCTAAACTTTTATAGTTCTATCGTATAATTTAAAACCGGGACGATCGTCATGGGACGACCGTCCAACGAACCGACCGAGGCGGTATACTTACAATATAGAGAGGAGCATATATTTCCACAGAACGTTTGAAAGTCTTGTTTGCGATGTGAAAAAATGCTCCCCAGCACGACGGTGTCCATGTGTGACCAAGTTCATAGCAAGTACAATGCAATTTTGCACAGAACAACTTGCTGATACCCGCCATCTTTAATCTTCAAAATGTCGTATATTTGTTTGTTGACTATTTCTTCCAGTGCATTATCAATTCCAATATAACATCTCGAAGGAATATATTGACCAGCACAAGTATACTTACTTTACACTGTAATCAATTTCTGTACATATTCCTGCACTGAATCGTCTGTGATATCACCCAGTACACTAAAACTCGTTGTCTCGTCTTTTGCAGTAGACAATGCTCTGTATGTTTAATCCCCATACGACAATCTTCCTCTTCATTTACCTCGTATAACATTTTATTTTAGTTTAGTTTATTTATTGGAGAAATTTGTAGTACTTCTCGTTTGTACTTATGCAATATTCTTACGTAATCAATATTTTTACAATTTAAGAACACAGTCCTGAGGGTTTAGTACGCTGATACAGCGGTAATCCACCAGGTGATTATACCAAATGTCCAAATCTTTAAGTTTGACAGATTAGATCCCATGCACGCAGTGCAAGTCATATGACATTTCCTCGTATCATGGCAACGACAAAATCTAACAATTCAACGCATTGTCGAAAGCAAGCTTGTGTCGGCGGTTTCCAAGGAAACCAATAAGATCGCTAATATCGAATGTACCCCTTCGAGGAAAGCACTCATACTGAGCAATATTGATGTTATGCGGTTAAACTGATCAAAATCAGAACAGAAAAGTCAGACGATCATGTGATCACCCAGACGCCGACTAATAATATTTGAGAAAATTGATAAAATGCATGACGATATCACATTCAAATGAAGTCAACCCATGTGCTGTATAGGATGACACATATTTTGATTATTTTACGTCAATATCTTCACATTGACTGGATATTCTCAATCCCCAAAAAAGCTTCCAAATCCTATAAGCTGCGTATTTTGTCTATTATCGCATCCAAGCAACACAAGCAAAGTGACATTTACAGTACCAAATGAGCACACATATTGTACATACAGTGTTGAGAAGTTCATGCTATATATATGCATACAACATATGGAAAATGAATTCATGGTGGACCCAGACAATAACTGTGTCAACTGTTTTGTTTGTTATCATCATAAATATAGACTACGTCATATGATATACCATCATGTGTTACTAAATTTGATATCAAAAAAGCAGTTTGGGCTCTTTATTTATATATAAAATACAGGCACATCTCGTAAATGGAAGTCTCTCATCTCGGACACGCGAGTTTTAATAATTCTAACCTTTTCTGTATTAATTTCGAATACTTTCTATGTGACACAATAATATGTCTAATGGCCACAACGCGACACTCCATAATCAGATATTGATTTGGATATGACATTCACAGGGTGTAATTAATAACACGCTACTTTATGCTTTCACTTCGCTCTCTTTTTCACAAACTTTTAATATCTAAGGCACCTTAAAAGTAAAATCAGTATAAAGTAATTAAATATTGATTTTGCAGTTGTACTAAACTGACTTCAATCGTTATTGTTCTTCTTTTTAATTTATATATTTAGAATATAACTTAAGGGCACAGGATAAATAGAGCACAGGTCTCATAGTGGGGTAATATTTACTTGTATTGTGTCGAGGATGTTCGAAGTGAATTCAAATGTTGCGCTACTGAGCATATGTACATTATTTTCAGTTGGAAACTAACTAAATTAAATTTGTAACACTATTAGGATACATGCGAATAACGAATTATAGTCGACCCATGCGGCCGACACGATGACTTTCTAGAAATGTATAAATACTTCCACTATTATATATAAACCAAAGCAATAAAGATTAATACGTGAAAATGTTATCAACTAGACATAAAATGACCACTAACGCCACCTTTGTTATCATTGTGTGATTGTCTGTATCATAATGGCTCCGGTCCATATCGCCAAAATTAAATTTAATATTCAATACGTAATTTGTATGGGGGGGTTACATACTTAGTATGTTTATGTCGAGAAGCGATCCAGCCCCGATATGTGCTGTACTTGGTTCAGGAATTTGAATCTTTGTAAACACATAAAATGCGCACCTATATACCTTATGAATATACTGTAAAAGGATTAATTATTCACTGGGTTTCAAATTTGCTTATTTTGCTGACTGGAAAATGCGCTAAATTAAAACCCAGTGAATATGTAAAATTTAGCATAGAACACATTATCTAAATGATAAAACCGTGAAGTTAAAACCCCCTAAATATGCCTGAAATGGTAAATCAGCAAAATTTAAACCCAGTGAAAACTAGTCATTTTACAGTACACAAATTTAAATAACTCTGACTCAAGGACCTGGAAAAAACACTTGTCAAAGATTTGGCACATATTTGAATTCACACATTATTTTACTGGATGAATTCACCTCCACGACTGACTTCTATTCTACAGTCACATTTCCTAAAATTGTCTCTGTGCGTATGTGTTCATTATTAATAACATACTCAGTATGTGTTATAGAATTATCACTCAATACATACACGCCTGGCTAAATGATTTGTCTTGCTTGGTTCTATTGACTTCCGAAATTCCATCCTCACCCACTCTGACGTCATCATGATAAGAATATACCAAGATTAATATATATATATATATATACATATATATATATAATTATACAAAATCTTTATTGCAATATGAAATTGTATTATTTATCAAAAACGTATAAGTTGTTTCAACACACTTTGATTAAGAACACGTGTATTACTACTAGTATATGCATGGCGTGTATTTTGTATTTTTGCTTCATATATTATGTTTTATTTGTAGTATATTTTTTATTATCTTGTTTTGCTTTTAATATGTACATCTATCACTAAAACTTTTAAAAACTACCAGCGAATGATTAATAAATTAAAATAATATATATATTAATATATGAATAAATAAATGAATGAATAAATATTTAAAAAATGAAAAACAAAATGTTATTTTAATCAGATTGCTTACGTATATGGAGACTAGCATTTGTAGGCACGCACGGGAATAAAGTACTCACCAACATGCAAATGTTATAAAAAAAAAGTTCAATTTCCAAAAAAATATATGGTTCGTATTTGCAGATTTTAGCGGGAAGAGAGTTAATTTACAAGTCATCTGCCTGCGTCGTGTATTGAAATAGAAACGTCACTGATCAACGCGTAGATCTTGAGTTAATCCCACTTTCAGAATAGAAACATATCGTCACACCGATAGCTAGTCACAAAATACAATCATGTACGTGATCAAATCGCGTTTCTTGTCAACAGCAATACCAAATCGATCACGTTTCCATGGCAATGTATTTCAACAAACCAACTTTGAGCTGCATTGCATATTTCATCGTTATTGGCTCTAAGATCTTAGTGGAACATTGCATTATATAACAGGGGGGACAAACCAGTGAAAATACGGCGTATACACACTACGTATAATTGGGAACGGGAGATAGGCCTGTCGACTCAGGGTAATTAAATTCCGATGCACGTACCATGCCGTCTGTCACTTCTGTAAAACGCGACAAAGTGATTTTATCATTTATTTCCATTGTCGATTTCATGTTGGGAATGAATAATACAAATCCAACTATCGACTCATACAATAGCTTATATGAACATCTTGTCTGTATCTGCTGCTACTTGCTGTATTCGACTGCTTTATTTAAATTCTTCGGATGTGACGTCGCGTCTTGCGTTTTGGAAGTGTATACTACCATACATCTCCCGCACAGAACTCGCTGGGAGCTGCATTAATCCTCTCACATGGCGTGAGTGATCTAGTATGCACCCCGTATAACTGAGCCGCCACTATTGTATTAATTCAGCGCTAAAGAGCTGAAGAAAAATCTTTGTACAGGACAGGATGGGACAATAGGACAGTTTTCCAAGTTACTCAGGAATGATAAACAACTGAAGTTATTTAATAATGTGCCGTTCTTTTTCCGATATGACTGGAACGATTTAAATGTGATTGTCTATAACCTAACTGTTATACAGTTTGTTTTAATTTCATTACACTATTTAACCCTTAAATAAAGCCTCGCTATTGTCACGCATGTCCGCTTCCTTAGTAGTCCGATTGTAAATCGTGTTCGCCGTGATATGCAATCGACACGCTCCGCTAAACATAGCCCGGAACATAGCGGGCAAACTAGGCAGTAAAAAGCAAATGGGGGGTTTGCATGTGAACACAGAATCCATATGCGTCGTCTACTAATTATTTTCAAAACACAGAGCGATTCGGTATGCCCTATGCAAACTACCAACAGTTCCGACCAATACGTGTACACACACTGAGTTAACATTTGAAAAGCTACCTTTAACCTCATGGCCCCGGAATGAGCATGACATATGAGAGCGATAAGAGATTGATCAAAGCACACGGAACGGTTCAAGGCAACAGAGGTTTTCTGCATGTTCCCAGCGTACGCAGTGCTGCAGTGCCAATGGTAAGGCATTTATCTTGAATCTAAATTTAGCAACAGGGTCCCGTTTTGGTAATTTATATCACGTTTTATGGTGTTTATTCAGGAACGGAGTGTTCAGATTCCGCGCGTAGTGTATGAATAAGTATGTTGTTATTTTTTAAATAACCAGTATCACCAGTTTGTAGTCTTATCTCGCCAAATTAGAGTCATAACAATTGTTCGGAACTTTGGGTTATTTGCTCAGTTGATCGCAGCCCATAAACGGGACATTATGAAGCATCGAGTGGACATTAGCAAGGCCTATAATACGGTGAAGTTGACCCATCAATGTCCCAAGAATAATACCTCGTAAATTCATACTACTACTGTTTGTTCTAACGAGCGTAAAATTTGGTGGTGTATGGGTTTAGCAGTACATGCTGTCGACAGTTTAACACGTGCCGTACGGATTTTTACGACCGAGTCGAGTCACACCAACGGCTGTATCTATCGCACCCATACAGTTTAAATATACGCGTCCAAACTCCATTCAACCAGATCTGGGCCACGAGGGTGATTTGGCGTCCCGTTCTGTTTTAATAAGAGGCGAGCATTTCAACGAGCTCGGGGCTTTTTCAAAGTCTGATCTAGAAATCTGACCAGCTTGAAGCGGGACACGTAACCCCCGTAATTTATTGGCTTATTGCGCGTACTTGTGTTGACAGCATCTATATATCAAAGCGAGTTGTCAGACTAGGGCAAACCAAAAGAAAAGAGAGTCGGCTAACTGCCTGCCAGTGGCTGCCTACTAGACTGGGTGCTTGTATACCGGTCTATCTATCATGATCCAATTCTTCTACTGTCAGCTTGAGGGTGACAGAATATCTTGTGTTTTTCTCGCTTACTTATTCAGAACCCAAGAAAAACATTATCGCACCGTGCACAATGTTAGTCGTACTGCCTGAGGGGTCCGGGGAGTAAAAGCTCGGTGGCATGTTTCCATCGCTTGGATACCATTTCCCGCTATTAAACACACTGGCATGACTGAGGTATACTTTGCCGTAAACGTTAAAGGTGGCTGGCTGACTTGATATA